TAAAGTTCTGCACAAATTTGAACAGCGGAGAACATTCTGATGGATCATTTGTTCCTTCACTTCCTTGGCATCCCTCATTGCCAAATGACTGCCTTTTCCTAGGGGTTTTGTCCACACTTATTCCTAAAACCCTGCTTCTCTTCTCTTTAAGAAATCACCATCTTTTAAAGAAATGGTTCAACCATATTTCAAAAAGTTTGAAGAAATGTTTTAAAAATAATTTTCTGTGCTGGATTTTCTTTATTTCGTTATTTATTCCTTTTTATAGCTAAGCATTAAACACATTGAAAGCTTCCATTCTCAGTCCTCTGCAACAGTGATCCGCTGCTACTCTGCTTTGGAAATCAGCTGTCTTTCACAATTTTCATCAAAAATGTTGAGGAAACTTTAAAATTCTCTTTTCTGCTGGACTTCATTTTGCCGCTGCTGCTGCTTTAATAAGGCAGCACTGAACTAAAAACATCTAACCTGAAAAGCTCTTACTGCATGAGACCTACATCCAGTACAACATGAAGCAAACAGACAAACAAACCATCTAATAGGAAGCAAGGTATTTCCAAAGGAAAAGCCAGAGTCTTCATTGTTCTTTATCACTGTGGTGTGACAAAGCCTGGTGTCCTTTGGACAATGGAGAAAATGCCAGTACCATCAGCACACAATCAGGTACGTATAGGGGAACAAATGCTTTATCTTATTGAACCATCAATTATTTTTTTAAAAAGAATTAAATAAAATCTTCTAAAGGAGGACATGGCAGACAGAAGCTGTGCCATTTATTATCAATGAAATCGTAAGTAGTTTCTTGTGATTTCACAACCCTATTCCATGCAGTGCTTCAGTAGTATTGGATACACTAGCTAGGAAAAGAATTACATTTTCCCAAGGAAAAAATAGGGTGATGTGAGGTGCTGGCTACATATATTTTTGTGTTGTACGGTACCAAATGCTCATTGTTACAGTGAAGGTCAGATTCACATTTCCTTCACTAACATTGAATATCAGTGTTAGCTCATGTGGTCATTTGAAATGTAATAGCGTATGGCTACATGCAGGGGTGTGGAATGGCTTTACCGCACTGAAGGGAACAAGGTAGGGGACCTCCTGACATCTATGTCTGAGCTGCTGCATTCTGTGGATTATATTTGGGGTTCTACTTCAACTAAAATGCCACTGAGAACATGCTTTTCTTAACAGCAAAATATGTGATTCCTTTCCTTGGTGCAGCTACCTGCTTTATAGTGACTGAAACAACAGAAAAGGATGAGGATGAAAAACTCTGTTTGCCTGTTCTTTGTTAACAGAGCTGGACAAAGCACACATATGCAGTGCAGCACTGAAAAAAGCACCCAATGCATCATTTGCTTTAATGTTGACCACTAGATGGCAATAAAACCTACAGGACATCCCCAGAGAAGACTCCTGTGTTATGTAGAGCAGAGACTAAGCAAAGTGTACTAAAGAAAAGACCCTACTAATAATCATCATCTTGAAACTGCAGAGCTGGGAGGGACCCTATGGATCAACGAATCCAGCCTCTGTCAAGGAGGCACAGTGGGGGAACTGAACTCCCCATCTCTGACTCTGCAGCCAGAGACCTGAACCATCGAACTATCCAGCAGCTCTTTTGTACAATGGCAGGTGAAAGAAAGGAATACAAGCCTTTCACAGGAATTCGAGACTATTTGCTGCAAGTCAAATCTGTAGTTTGATCTAGCAAGATGAGTGTCATGGCTGAAGAGGGAATAAGGGCAAGTACCAGAATCATGCCCTCATAAGAGCCTCTCTTAAAAGCCTTACCTAGTGAGTATCCTGTGTCCCACAGTGACCAGCCAGATGTCCATGGAAAGCACACAAGCAGAACCTGAGTGGAACAGCATCAACCTAGTGGTGCCCAGCACCAACTGGCATTAACCAACACCATCTCTGTGAAGGTGCTGCTGCAAACCACAATAGATTGTTTCATGCCACTGTGCTATCGCCGCATTGAGCTGAACCTTCTGCTTTCATTTGAGGCAACAAGAAGCCCCAAACAAGGACATGAGCCCAAAAATGCCTTCCGCCTTGGATTCCCAAACAGTCCATGTCCAGGGTCATATTGCTTCTGAAGAGATTTATAGCCACCCTGTTGAATAGTAACGATTTTCTGTGCGTTTCTCCAACCTGCTTTTCAAACCCACCAAGGTGGCAGCTGTCCATACACTCATATGATCCATATTTTGTGTCCCTTGTAAGGAAGGATCCCCTTTTGCCAGTCCTCAGTCTCCCACCCCACTCAGCTCCAATGACTATTAAGGTACTGTATAGGATCATGAGAAGGTCCTCTCTACTTTTATCTCACTTTGTATAACTTCATACACTGCTTGCATATCCTGCACTCCTGCTCACTGTTACGTTGCCAATAAGTCCAAGGCAATGAAAGCTTTTTTTTCTGTATGATTATTGCTCCAGGCACACTGAATCACCACATAAGTGTTTTTACATGCCATCCTAGTGACCCTAATAAGATTGCTGACGTATGTGAGATGTTCAGGGAGTAATTTACCATTGATGCCCCCACATGCTTCCATGGCTAAGCAGGGATTTGAACCCAGGTCTACCAGTCTGACACTTTATCCAGTACACCATGCTACCTCTCCACTCCATGACAAGCATGCATAAAATCTGCACTGCTGATATGCTCTCATGGTCCCTAGATGGATTGTTAAGCTCAAGAGAGGAATGGACTTCTTTTTGACCCAGAATAATGTTTGTTTCAGTCTTTCTGTTGAACTGTTGCACATGCCTTAGAGTCTGTTTCTTCTGAATTACACAGATCCTCTCTGTGCATTGTCTCAAGAGACTTAACTAATGGCAAGCTTCCCTCCCTTGAAGGAAAAGGCGACATTCAGTTTAAATAAGCTACACTTGAGAGCTGGTATGTATCTTATTATTTTGGACAGGAGCAAGCGACCACACAGTGCTTCTGCCAGAGGATACGATGTGCGGCTCAGTTCCGGAATGTAGCTTTTGAAAAGGGTAGATGTATTTGTAGTGACTCAACATCTGCTCCTGGTCTACGAAGAATGCACTGCTGAGCATTCTCTTCCTTTGAAGTAATTCTCATTGCCTTACATTAACAATTTCCCTCATCATATTTGTTATCTCTGGAATTTTGTTTCAAAGAGAACCGACATGTGAAGGGAGGAAGAAGAGTGAATTTATCCCAAAACTTATGTTTACACATCTTGTAAATTTATATACAGTTCTATTCTTGTACAGTTTGTTCCTGAGGAGAGCATGTAAAGTAAGATAGACTATGAGGAGTAGGACTTTTTTTGTATCGGTGATGAAATTTTGGCATTCTCTTCTGGGAGAGATTCACTCCACTTCCACCCTGTTGTCTTTTCACATGAGGTTAAACCCTCTGAACATTTAGGATTCCATTTGCTAATTTCTAATTAAGTCTTATTGCCTTTGTGTTAAAGTTTTTATTTGCTCCTGATTTGCTGTTTATACAGCTTTAATGCTTATATTATATTGTACTGTTAATTAGGTTGGCAGCAGCTATCATTTGGTTCTTTTGTAAACTATTATGGAATCGCTGTGAATGGTCGCATAAAAACATTTAAAATAAAATTAATAGTGTGTACCATAATGATTAAACTTACTCTTGACATTTTGGGGGCATACTCTAAACTACCTTATTCTATTTGCTAAAAATTATAACAGGTTAAAAGGACCTTGCTGTGCATTATAAAAATGTGGAAGAAGTAGGGCTGGCTTCAGATCCTTGACAACCTCACAGGGAACACAATCAACTGGGCATAGTCACACCAGCAAAATGTCCCCCAGTGGTTACGCAACTTATAATTGCATTCCTGTCATGCTTTGCAGCCACGTGGTATTTATTCCAGGATGTGTGTCCCAATGTGTTTTTGGGTGACTGAGTCATTTCCTTTCAATTCAATAAGCACCTAGACACCGTTTGATAGAAGTTAACTGACATATTGACACAAACGCAGTGGAAAAATATATAAAAAGTATAAAACAGTTTAAAAGGTCATGCATGGTGACAGTAGTTCAAAAAAAAAATTGCGATAAGACCATTCACACATGCAGCAACACAACTTTTTTTTTAAATAAGTCCACAACACAAAAAGGAGAAGCATTTAGTGAGAAATGATCCACAGTTAGCACGCTTGCTGGGTAAATGATTTGCTAATGTCTGTGGGTCATGTGACTGCACATTTATGATATGAACTCAATGGGGGATAGGAAGGCAGCATTTGGCTCATGTGACTGTGGCCCAAGAGTGTGCAAGCTAATCAGCGAGTTCTCCCTCCTCCTTGATGCTGTTTTATGGATAACCTTCTCTGCATTCCTCCCAGGCTACAGCTCCTTCCCTCTGTGTTCAGATGTGAGTGGCATTGCTTATGCAAACACCCCAACTATGTTTTGAAACAATGGTGGCATCCACCCTCACAATTTTTCTCCCCAGTCTCTCCAGAAGTATTTAAAAAAATTAAAGGAACTACCAAGTTTAGTGCTAGATTGCCTCATCACTGCATTGATACCTCAGTTTAGAGCTAGTTCTCCTCCACAGAGAGAGAGAGAGAGAGAGAGAGATACAAAAGGAGAGCCAGAGATTGCCCAGCAGGCAATCTAAGGAAAGTGGGGCTGTGGGTTGTGGGCACATATCAAATCACATTGGATTGAGAGTCAACGTGTACACTTGTACCGAAACAATCTGGAGTCTTCTTGTGATCACTTACCTTAAATCACTTAAATCACTCAATCACAAAAGAGATTGTAAATCAAGTCGCAGACAGTGTGGTTGCACCTTAAGATGGGAATTTGATGGTGCGGAACCCCTCTGCCAAGACAGCTCAACAAGGAGTGGATGCACGCAGTGGCTGCTATTGGGGATCATGAATGGAAAACCAGTTGTGGGGAAAAGAATACAGTATCCTCAACAGGAGCATTCCTAACTACAATATTTTGTTCAGGCACCACTTGACCACTCAGATTTCATATTTTATTAGGAGAACAAAAAACATATACCAGAAAAGGGTATTCTTTTTTTCTCTCTCTCTTAAATGCATTGTTATAGAAGTGCAACAGGTTGGAATGAGTAATGAAAGAATACGGTTCACAAACATACATAGCTCAATTGAACACAGAAGAAGCTTGGATATAGGTCTCATTGGATACATTCATTACTACCGATGACAGATGCTTCTGGCCCCAGCTGCAGAGCAGCATCCCAGTGCATTTGAACAACCTTGTGCTAAACACAAGTATGAATGGGTCCAGCCAACACCATCGTTATCTCCAGTATGAGGGTGCATAGGGGATAGGGTAAGCATTAAGGTCTAAGCTGGACCACATTCTTTACAATGGTGCTGTCCTTTGACACTGGGTAATGATTAAGAAAATCATTGCCAGAACTGCATGTCTCAAAGCAGACCTCTGGAAGCATTCTCAGCCTTTCCCGAATCATAGGCCTGTAGTTTCACTCTTGCATCCAGGTGTCAATTGAATTCCTGCCAGAGATCTATACCAAGGTGACATGAGAATAAAATACACAAACACATCCAAGATACACCTCCCAGTGTATTCTCTTGGGAAAGTTAATTCCTTAAATAGATGTTCTAGATTTCTTCAAGTGGAGCAACTCTGACATCGAATCGTATCCAAGGAAGAATGGCATTCCTGGCCAGAAAGTACAAATACTTACTGACAACAAACTACAAGCTCTTCCAAATGGAAATAAAATAATATTTTTGAACTAGGACTTCAGCTTAGTTTCCACCTTGCTAGCATTGATGACAGTGTTGATAGGAGAATGCAGCTCATGTTGACCCCCCCCCTCCCCAGCTTATGTCTGGAATCTTCTGCCTCAGCTGCCTATACAGTATTCTGAAGCTCAAACTCAGGTGACTGCCTGTGGAAGACTTAGGGCTATCCATTCCAACTATTTAGTGCAAATATATTGCTGGCTGGCAAAACAAAAATATGTAAGGGAGTATAGAGCTTGATGTCTACTGTTCCATGGGGCTTCTCCTCAAACTTGGAAAATTTACTTTTCTGGAGGACAGCTCCAGAATCCTCCAGCCATGATGGTCACTGGCTGTGCTGGCTTAGGAGACTTCTGGGAGTTGTAGTGAAAATAGTGGCAGACACACCCGTCATACTTCTACCACAAGAACAAGAACTGGAGAGTACTGGGCAATGTGAATATAACATTTCTCTAATTTACTCTGAGATGAGGATGGGCACTGCCATATTTTTGATGGCAGAATCATTCTGATGTCTTTGAAATGCTAGATCCTCACAGGTTGCGGCAACATGACATTTCCTATTCTTAAAGTCTTGGCTGTCCTTGGCTTCTTGGGGAGGAGGTAAGTGAAGGCAGAAGGGAGCTGCATTTCAGTAGCAACACAATCTCAGGACCACATCATGTCGTCATAATCACTGCTGTTGAATGAGCCGTTCCCAGGACCAGCTTCACAGTTCACGAAAGGCCTAGAAAAAGTTGTTGTCAAGCCTGGACCAGATAAATTAAAAGCACATTTGGGTCAGCAACCAAGAAGCAGAAGGACACACCCCTGATAGAAGATGCTAAGAGGCTAGTGGAGATGTCTGGTGACCTAACAATCCAGCTGTGTAACCTTTCACAAGGTCTTGTTGGGTAATGAAGGAGAAAACTGTGGTGATTTGGGGTAGCGGGCTCTGGCAATTTGCGCTTCAGGAGACTTTTGTTTTACCTGGCCATTGATTGCTAAAGGACTGCCTTATAAATGTCCCATAACAGAAACCTCTTTTACCTAAATTAGGGATGGCTACCCTGCAATAGGATAGCAACAATGATATCTGGCTGATAGCAACCCTGATGCATTTGGAACCAAGGTATAGCCAAATATTTTCCACCGGTTTCCTGTTGGAAGCATGGCTTCTAGTAACATCTCTTCTACCATTTTTTTAAATATACAAAGTGCTCAGCCACAGCATATGTACTCAAGCATTCCCAGCCTGTGATACTGATTGGAAATGATGGGAGTTAAAATCCAGCAGATCTAGCAGCCTGGGGAAGGCCGAGCAGGTACATGTTCTAATGTGTGCACAATACTATGCCTGAGCACATGTGCTCCACAATTGCAAAATCTTGTTTGCTAGGCTGCACCAAGCTCACTCCAAACCTCAGTCTCACTTGTGAAAGGCTTGGCTTGTAAGAACAGCTGTATGTATTTTTTGCACATAGGAATAAAATATCTGGAGAAGAGATCAGCTTCTTACAACGTACAGATTTGCCCCTCCCAAGCCATCCCTCCAGTTTGGCTAGGAGCTCCCATTTGACAGTGTGGCTATGAGTCTCTGTTCTGCTCCAGAAATGACCATAGAGCACCGGTTCCCTACCTTTTGGGGTTTTTTAGTCCAGACATTCTTGGACTAAAATCCCCCAAAGTCCTCCCCACTTAACTGTGCTGGCCAGGATTTCTGAGAGTTGTAGTCCAAGAACTCCTGGGGACCCAAGTTTAGGAAGTACTGCATACAGAAATAAAGAGGTAATTTATGATCTTGTAACAGGGCCTTCTTAATTCTATCCTGGATTGGCCAGTTATGCTTTGTTTTTGTTTGTAATGATTAGAAACAGTGACAACTTGAAGAGATATGGAATCCATATTTGAATTATGGTCTTGTAAAAGGGAAAAGTCAAATGCCAGCAGAAGAATCAATGTATTTTTTGAGCGGAATTTGGTGAAAAGAGAGTAAAAGGAAATATTTTCTTATCTGGTCCCAAGGATGATAGTGGCATGGGGGGGGGTTAAGGTTGTATTAGTCCACA